CCCCCCCCCCCCATACTAAGCCCAAAAACAAAAGTTCCACATTCTATCCCTAAACACCCAAGCCCTCAAACTGCCCACCCCTGAAAATGAGTTTCCCCCACCCCCCTTCACCCCCCTCCAAATATAACCCACCCATCCCCTTAGCCCAGGAAATAAAAAATGCACCCTATCCCCCACCGCTGTGCCCCAAACCACGCGCCACCCCTGCACTGCATTCCCACACTCCAGCCAAGCACTGCCTGCCCCCGTCACTTCCCTGCCGCCAGGCCTGGTCCCCACCCCTGCCACCGGCACTTCCCACCACCAGACCCCCTCCCACCACCAACCCCCGTCCCCACCTCCGATCCCGGCATGTCCCCTCCCCTCGGCCCCTGGCAGGCCCACCCCTGCACCCTAGCCAACTCCACCCCCACCAGGGTTGTGGGAGGGTGCCATCCTTGGGGGGGTTCAGGATCACCACAAAAACAAAAAAAACGCGGACACGGCCACCACTGCACCTTTTTTATTTACTTATTTTGTCCTTTGGGAGAGTCAACCCTGGGGTTGGGAGCGCCCACCCCAGGATACCCACCCCCAGATCCTCACTGGGGGTCCTGGGGTGGGTGCAACCCTGATGGTGGGTATTGCCAGAATTTGCCAGTCACCGCAAAACAGGCTGTTGGGCGCTCCATTTGACAGTGGAGTTTGCTGAAACGCCTCCCAAGCCTGGAAGCACAACTGTGCGCAGCCAAGCCGAGGTGCTGCTTCTTGTACTAACGTCTTCTCCCAAAGTTCCCAAACACAACGCACCCAACGCACCCTCGTTTTGACTGTATCAGGACAGAAAGATAGTTGTATACATTCATTATCAGGGTGCATTACGTTTGTGGGAAAATGATGGCTTCGGACCAAGGGCATCAAGCATGTGGTACGGCAAAAGAACATTGAGGAGTGGTTGGACATAGTCAACAGAGCTTAGTACATGCTTGAGTTTCGTCGCGCTGAAGATTTGTGGCACACATACAGCACGGGTTCCGTCACTTGCTGTACCGATCGACCGAACACCATTCAAGACAGGGATACGGTCATATGGAAGTGCCCGCTACGGGTGGGAATCTGGCCTCTACAACAGCCTCAGCTTAAAACAAAAAAAAAACAGGGATATGGTCACAGGTCCACAGTTGAAGTAGCTGGACTGCATTCACCACCAAGTGCATCCCCTCGCATTTATCTCCCACGTCCATCTGACATTAGGAACCGTCCAACCCACCCCTTTCTCACAAAAGAGAGATTTGCAACAAGAAGAACACACTAAGCTAAGGTTTGCCGCTGTGGCCGTGCACCCACCAACCTCAAACCGGGTCAACGAGCCTTATCTGACCAAATTTTTTCCTTGACCAATTTTTTTCCTTGACCAGTTTTTTTGCATAAGGTTATCATGAGCATGCATACATGCATGCAACTTTTATCCCCGCCGAGCAACTGATCGCCGAGTAACTGATCCCACGCATAGAAGAGGTAGATGGTCGAGGGCAACTGCTCGTTGGGCTGATGTAGAGTCCTCCTCCAAGCCTCCCCACCTTCGCTTCGCAACCGTAGGGGTCTGGCAAAAGGGTGACTTAGCACCCATGCCGTCGCTAAACTGTGGCTATCTGATTAGATCCCGTCAGTCTGGCCTTAACTATATATGCCCTCTCACCGCCACTACACACCCCAGTTAAGGTTAGACACTGGCTGGCAGGACTCGTGCGAGATGCTAACCGGGGTTGGGGGGTCACTACAATTGTCAGGCGCTAACAGTAGTCAAGGTCAACCACACTCCTGTAACCCCAGTTAAGCTCCGAGAGCCTCAGACTAATAGCAGCAGCTTCTCCATGTTTCTAAAACAGCAGATGCCGAGCCTAACACGATCCTGTCGACACCAGCATGTCACTTCGAACAAACGAGAAGACGCACGCATACGCTGTGCTTTCTCAACAGTACTGAAGGCCGAGTCCCACACGCGTTCCCCTTCCCACAGCCCTGACGCATTCCCCTTCCACAGCGCTGACGCGTTCCCCTTTCCACAGCCCTGACGTGGCCCCGTTGAGCTAAGCGACACGTACAGCAGGGTGCCGGGGAGTCATCATCAACCATGCAAAGCCCGTCCTATCTTGTGCGTGCCAGCTCAAGTGACTCCCAACAAGCATGCAAAATTCCTTCCAAATGCACACTACCCCCCTCCCATCTCTACCCACATATGACATCCACCAGAACCTGACAGAATCAAAGTCCTTATTATGTGACTTGGCAACTTGCAAAGTGAGCAGGCTGACCCCTCCGCCGCCTCATCACGACGCAAGCGTTTGCTGTCATTTTTGCGATGCCGCAGGTTCGGCTTTGGCAGCGGTAGCCACCATGCTCGTAAGCTTGGAAAGATCTGCGCCAAGAAGAGTCTCTGCAGGTTCTGAGCTGCCTGGATTGAGAAGGATGAAAGTGGGCATGGCACGTACTTTGTAATCCGTGCACAAATCCTGCAACAGCGCAAACACATTACACAAACGACAACTCACAATCAGCTGTGCATACAGCCATCTGCATATGTATATGGGTGTTATGGGACCCAATTTTCAGGGGCCAAATTTCCAGGTGCAAGAAATATGAGTGGGAACGATATACAGAAAGCCAAATTGCAAAATCACACAGATGTCCAAGTAGTCGTGTACAAGTAGAGAGCACAAATGCACCGAGATTCCATCCAAATAAGAGCAATACAATGAAGTCATGAGCCAATGTTCAAGCCCTCAGGCCACACCAACACAGTATCCAATGTCGCTCCTCTCTGTCTGGCGCCCAGCGCCCAGCCTACACTACTTGCCTATCTTACCTACATCAGCATTCACGCAACAGGCTCACTTCGACTTTGAAGGCCAATGTACATGATGTCAACACCATAGCCGACCTCCCTCATGCACCAGGTACGTATCTCTTCTCCCCTCATCAGACCCTGTCCACCCACACTTGCCTTCTTCCTGAAGACCACCGATCGCCCTCTGACCCCCTAGCGCCCTGCAGCCCGGATACCGCTGCTAGCGCTCCGCTGCCCAGCAGCGCCCCTCTCACCTCTCAAGCGCCCGCATGCGCCCTGGCCACTACCGCAGCAAGCAGCGTCTCGCACAGCAATGCAGCAGTGTGACCGCATTGCCTGCGTGGGCCAGAATGTCTGCCCCTGGCTGCCTCCTTCCCTATATGGAAGCGGCAGCCTCTGTTTGGCTGCGTGTGGCCTGGCTGGGAAGCTTCCAGTAGCTTCCGGTCAGGCCCAAGTGCCTGCGCCCAGGCCCAGCTATGCAGTTGAGCGCCTGGGCACGGCCAGTATTTCCAGACTTGGGCCGTTTGCTGCACTTGCACAGGACCCAAGGTATGTACATCGACAATGCTGCTTTTTCGTAGGCCCGTAGCCAATGCGTGATGTATCTGCCTTGCATTGTGTGTGTGTGTGCCTAGGCGCAACTACCAAGGCCTGGGCCCAACTGTACGACGCAGCACAGGGAGGCTCACGCTTCCTCTCCTCCAACTGGCGTGCTGCAACTGCCTGAGTACCCACAATGGAAAATGTCAAATTTTGGCCTCTGGTGAATATTCAGGCCCGCCTTCACGTAGGGCACAGGGCTTGCTGAGGGCGTCAGCCCAGAACATGTGCATGTCTGATAAGGGCCCTGCGAGGGCTCATTCCTCGCATTCCATCCCCCTTAGCTTCGAAAGTCTGCTGAGATGCTTCAAGCTGGTGCCTTCCCCTTCAGTCTTCGCTCGTACTCGGCCACAATCTGAGCTGTCTTGACAAGTTCCTCTCTTGTGAACCATCGACCTTCTTTAGGATCCGTGTGATGCCTGAACCGTACCCTGTACTCTCTCATAGGTTTAGGCGGTCTTACTCGGCCAGCTGGCTTGGGAACAGGCATATCTCTGTGTTCCAGGATATCATCGACGTCCACGTGACCATCCATGGTTGGGGGCAGCATTGATCTCCTTGACAGGAAATGCTGTCTCAGCGAAAGGTGCAAGCTTTGGGGCGTGAAACACAGGGTAATTGCGTAGCTGACCAGGGATTCGAATCACGTACGAGGGACCATCCAAATCACTACCCACAATGTCTAAGACTTCCCAGGGACCGAAATACTGAGGCATTAGTTTTCTAGAGATGTCGAACTCCTGTCCCAACTCACTAGCCTTGACCCAGACACGTTCCCCTACCTGAAATGTGGACTGTCGGCGATGCTTGTTCTCAGAAGCAATCATTGCTTCCTGAGATTTCTTGATGTGTTCGACAGTCTGCTGCAACAACTTCTCATACTGGACACCAAATTCTATGGTTCCAGAGGTTGCAGCAGTTCGTTTTTCAGGCAAGAGGAAGTCTAGAGCAGATCTAGGCTTCCATCCCAAATGCAGCTGATTAGGACCGACGCCGATGGTGATATGTACAGCATTGTTGTACAGACTGGCGATGAGAGACAACTTCTCATTCCAGTCATCCTGGCTGGGCCTAATATAATGCCTCAGCAGATGCTGCACCATGCGGTTCATCTGTTCAGCCTGCTCATTGGCTTCGGGATGATTCCCAGAAGTCATTTGGAGCTGGCTGTCCATCTGTTCAGCGGCATTTTTCCACATCTCGCTGGTAAACCGGACATCTCTATCACTAACAATTGTCTTTGGCAGTCCAAAATCACGCACCCAGTTATCCATGAATAACTTGATGACGTGCTCAGTCCTGGCAGACTCGGGCATGGCAATAAGTCTAGCGTACTTAGTGAACCTATCACTATGACAAAGATATGCCTCTTGCCACTCTTGCTGGTCACGAGGGTATCCATGAAATCCATGGAAACACTTTGTCGCGGACCAGCAGGATTGGGAAGGGTCTGACAAACTTGACAAGTTTGCACATAAGTCTTCGCATCGTCAAGCATGTTAGGCCACCAAATCGCTGTACTAAGTTAGCACTTGTCTTCTTGTAGCCAAAATGTCCTGTTCGGCCGTGGCATTCTCCTAAAAATAAACTACGTAAAATCTCTCTAGATGGAACCACCAATCTCTTGAATCCTGCCTTCTCAAGAAAGAGCAACCCATCCACCACCACAAACTCATCATTTGTGGTCTTGTCCTGGGTCTCGAGTTCGCGAATGATGTCCATCGTGACACGGTCTTCCTTGTAGGCCTCCACCATGGATCAAGTTACATTGTCGGATAAGCCAAACTCGGTAATCAGTGCACCTACGTAGTTTGCCCTACGTAACAGCGCATCAGCAACCTTGTTATACTCTCCTTTCACGTAGTCTAGCTTGAAGTCATACTGATTTATGACTTCAATCCAACGTTTGAGTGCGTCAGAGAGAACACGTTGCGTTTTGATCCACTTGAGTGTCTGATGGTCGGTCCTCAAATAGAAGAATCTTCCCAATAGATAGTGCCTCCAGTGGACAAGTGCCTTATAGAGGGTGTAGAGTTCCCTTTCGTAGGTGGACTTCGCCAACTTCTTCGATGGCATCTTCTTGCTCATGTACTCGATCGACCTTAACTTCTTTCCTTTCTGTTGAGCTAACATTGCCCCAATGCCGTATTGGCTTGCGTCAGTGGTCACTACAAATAGTCTTTGAGGGTCGGGGACCATGAGAACCTCATGATGTGTAAGGGCATGCTTCAGTCTCTTGAAAGTAGACTCACATGCGTCTGTCCATTCCCATGGAGTCTCAAGGTGCGTTAGATCAGTCAAGGGAGATGCAATCGTGCTATAGTTATGTACAAAATTGCGATCATAACCACATCCCCATGAACGATCTAACCTCAATCACAGACTGGGGTCGTGGTCAGTCTCTAATGCTAGCCACCTTCGCATCTTCGAGCCTAATCCCTTCCATAGATACTTCATGACCCAAGTACAAAATTTTAGTGCGACCAAACTTGCATTTCTCTAAGTTAATCCGCAGGAGAGAGACCGCTTTGTCTACATGTTGTGCATGCTCCTCAACAGTTCTACTAAATATAAGAATATCGTTGAGGTACACAACAATAAACTTATCCAAGTAGTCATGAAAGATCCTATTCATGGCGTGCTGGAATGTACTCGGGGCATTGCAAAGTCCAAAAGGCATCACCACAAACTCATACAAACCGTACCTGGTCTGAAATGTGGTTTTGTGTTGGTCTTCCGGTCTAATGGCAATCTGATGGTAGCCGGACTTCAAGTCAGTCTTCGTAAAGTACTAGCATCCCTGCACCCTATCCAATAGATCGTCGATGCGGGCTCTGCGTTCTTAACGGTGATGGCATTCAGGCCCCTATAATCAATGCACATCCTTAGTGATCCCCCCTTCTTCGGTACGAATAGAACTGGTGAGCCGAAGGGGGAGATGCTAGGCCGTATCCAACCCTTTTCTGTGAGCTCTTTCAGTTGCCACCGGGGCTCGTCCAACTCGGTCGGAGTCATCCTATAGATTCTCCCTTTGGGTATCTTGCTCCCAGGGATGATCTTTATGGCATGGACAACCTCCATGTCTACGACACATGTGGGCTCCTCAAACAAATCAGGATACTTCGCAACGACACTCTCTATCTCTGGGGGTGATTTAACAGCCTCCCCTTTCTCAGAGGCAAAGACAAGGTACATACCCTCCTTTTGGTTATGTTTATAAGAATTATAGAATGTTGATGCGCACAAGCACCCGTAGGAGTCAATTAACCTACTAGCCTTATATTTAGCTAGTCTAACGGTCCTCTCATTAGGCAACTCATGCTTTAGCACTTTCTTGTCCAAGTCAAACTGGGGCTTGGCAACCTCAAGGTAGTACACACCTAACAACATGTCAAACTGTAGGTCGTCGCTAACCAGGAACAACATCTTGTGATTAAGTTCCCCTCCTGCATAGGAGAAAGTGCAGAGCACGTCCTTGACGTGGTCCTCCACCAACATGCGCTCTTCGTCGACCAAAGCAGATGCTACCGGTCTACTCAGGCGCTGCACCCGGTCCTGTAGGCGCAGTCTCTCAACGCAGTTGCAACTTATGAAGTTCCACATGGAGCTGATGTCTACGAAGGCACCGCACTTGCAACCACCTACACCAACTTCCACAATGAAGTACTCCCCTCCAGGACCTCGACTTAATGCCACCCAAGACTCGTGAGGGTCCCTTGCCGACCACTCACTTTGTAGGTCCTCTAAGGCTTCAGACACATCCAACGAACAGAGTATCGTTAGGTCAGGATGCGTCTGCGGGGTGACTAAGGAGTAAATAGTTTCGACCAACTCTTGAAAAGGGGAGAGTACATCACCCGCTTCAACACGAGTAGAAGAAGCTACAACTTCTACTGGCCCTATGTGTTTCCCGAGCTGGAACTCGTAGGAGCCCCACTCTAGGAAGAAGGAATCCCACCCCTATGCGGGATCTTTTGCGAAACCTTTGCGTTCTTGCACTTAAACTGTTGATGGCCATACTCGCCGCAGTTAATGCAAGCACCCCGCGAATAACGGTCCCGCCACACATCTTGATCCAAACCCGCTCTAACCCAAACCGCTATTTTGTTCGGGTTCGGGGTTTGCCCGACTCCTCTGTTGACCGCCCTTACCGTGGCCACCTGCCTTAGTTTTTACCAAAGCAGCGAGGTCGCTACCCTCAGCACTATCGCTGTCTAACTTTGAACCGTCCACAAGGTCTGAGAAGTCCTCGATCTCAGTTTGAGTACGATTGGCCTCAACCATCATCAATCGGCTTCCCTTCGTCTTTCACTCTGGTGGACTCTTCTTCTTTCTTCCGTTTGTAGGGCGTTGTTGAGCAGCTCCTAGCGTGGCCTCTAAATCTAGAGCCTTCTTGCTAAAGGTCTCAAAGGTGTGATACTCTAGCCGAGCCTCGCTGGCTAACAAGTTCTTGATGTCTGTGGGAAGACATCTCAAGAACATAATCAACAAGACCTGTGGATCATAGCATTCCCCGGGGACGACAATCAAACGCTCTACAACAGAGGTGAGTTCGTGCACGGACTTGTACTTCTTAGCGTCAAGTTTCAGCAACCCATCAGTGGCAATTTGTGCCTGATGTGGGTTGTGCCATCCACCAGATCCATAAACTCTCCCCGGTGGGGGTGCGGG